CTCGAATGCCGTTTGGTTTGAAAAATGCACCTACAACGTTGCAACGCAGCCTGAACAATCTCCTTGAAAATTTGATCTACAAGGATTGTCTTGTCTATATGGACGACATTATTGTATACTCCACTTCATTGGAGGAACATATATTGTCATTGAGGAGGGTATTCACAAATATAAGGGAGGCCAATCTAAAACTACAATTAGATAAATGTGAATTCATAAAAAAACAAACTGAATTCTTAGGCCATATAATCACAACGGAAGGTATAAAACCTAACCCAGCCAAATTGAGGCAATACAAAAATTTCCAATACCTAAAACGGCGAAAGGAATTTCGCAAATTTTGCAAAAATAGCAAAACCAATGACAGCAAAATTGAAGAAAGGTGCAGTCATAACACAAAAGATAAACAGTACATTAAAGCATTTGAAAATTAAAAGTTCTTATCATGTCCGATCCGATATTAATACATCCTAATTTCGAGAAACAACTCTCATTAACCACAGATGCCCGTAATATTGCCATAGGAGCAGTATTATCCCAAGACCATAAACCAATCTGCTATGCCAGCAGAATGAAATGAACATGAAGTCAACTATTCGGCAATATAAAAAGAACTTTTGCTATTGTCTGGGCCACTAAATATTTCAGGTCCTATCTTTTTGGAAGAAAATTCGAGATCCTTAGTGATCACAAACCTCTAGTTTGGCTGAGTAATATAAAAGAACCCAATATGAAGCTACAAAGTTGGAAAATCAAGCTAAATGAGTTTGTATTACCATATTAAATATGTTCCAGGTAAAGAGAATCACGTAGCAGATGCCTTATCGCTAATTAAAATTGAAGAAAATTTACTAGGAGAAACCCCTGATAGCTTAGCAGCGACAATACATAGTGCACAAGAAAATAACGAAAATTATTTTCCTATTACAGAAAGACCCATTAATTATTATAACAGGCAAATATAATTCATAAAAGCCAACACCAACAAAGTTGAAACAATACATTACTTTCACAAATCAAAAATTATAATTCCATATCAAAAAATGACCCATGAGCACGCTAAAGAATTAATTAAAGAATATTTATGCACTAAGAAAACTGTTATTTACTTTCATAATGAAGCTGATTTCATAACTTTCCAAAACGCTTACATTGAAATAATCAATCCTAATAACTCAACAAAAGTAATGAAATCCACTAAACAAGTAACTGCTATCCAAATATATGCACACTTCAAGGAAATTATCCTTAAAAACCATACAGATTTATTCCATCCAGGAATCGAAAAGGTTACATCACTCTTTAAAGAAAATAGTACTATCCCGACCATCAAACTCATAGAAAACATCATTAATGAATGAAATATGCAATATAGCTAAGACCGAACACAGAGATACTAAACCCTCGTTTCAAACTACTCCAGATTGCTAATAAAAAATTTCTATCTTGTATAGACTTTTATTCCAAATATGCTGCATTAATAGAAATTAATAGCAGAGATTGGCTCGAAACAAAGCGAGCAATCCTCTAAATTTTCAATCAAATGGGTAAATCAACCGAAATTAAGGCCGACAAAGACTCAGCATTCATGTGCGCAGCACTTCAGTTCTGGTTACAGTCCGAAAATGTTAAAATAACTATAACTACTAGTAAGAATGGAATTTCTGACGTTGAGAGATTTCCCAAAACAGTCAATGAAAAATTGAGGATAATCAACAGCGAGTCCGACAATTCTTTATACGTATAACCATAAAACCAAACATAATACAACTGGTAGAACACCAGCTAATATCTTCATATATGCCGGACCCCCGCATATGACACCCAAACAAAGAAAATAAAAAAAAAAATAAAAACGCCAAGACTTCGAAGTAGATACTAGATTTAGGGAATCACCTCTAGTAAGATCAAAAACCACAGCTCCATTCAGGAAAACAGGAAATCTCAGACAAGTAGATGACAACCATTTTGAAGAAACCAATAGAGGTAGAAAAATTACACACTACATATCTGTTGGGATATTTCTGGTGTGCCTAAGAAGCACATAAAGAAAAACACACGTAGTGGTTCGGTTAAACGTTTAATAGAAACTTCAAAGCATGAGTACAAAAATCTGAACAAGTACTCAATTACAGAATGAGTACTATGCTGATACAATGGTGCCAGATTATAAAGAAGCTTAACAGCTTATTGTAACTATTTTAACAATGTCTAAATTTGAAAAGAAAAGGAGAATTAATCTAAGTAAATATGAGAATTCCAGATCAAACGACCATCAAGGCCAATAAAGCCTAACTTAAACTATCATCGTACTTAATATTATTCCTAATAACCATCTTCATCCGAGAATATCATTGATAAGAATGGCTACTTCATTTTTAAAACAGGAGTAATACACTTACCCGTAAATTATGAAAACCATTATTTGTCCGTGAACATAACCAAAACAGAACAAACCTACAACAATCTAATCAAACAAGCTGAAGAATTTGGAACTTTATCACAAATAAGATACTTAAAGGAAAAGTTAGAAAGGAGAAATGAATGGCATAAGAATAGCAAAAGGCAGCAAACGCGGTCTTGCTAATTTTATGGGTACTATTTACAAATATTTATTTGGCACATCAGATCAACAAGATAAAGAAGAACTTAAATCTAAAATGAACAATATAGCAGAAAATAGCGTACAATCGACTGAATTAAATCGAGTAATAGGAGCAGTCAACACAGGCATAGAAACAATAAATCATTTAAGTCAAATAAACGAAGTCGACCAAAGGTTAGCACTTCTCATATTGAATCTCCAGGAATTCACTGAATATATAGAAGACATAGAGTTAGAAATGCAATTAACCAGACCTGGAATTTTCAACCCAAAGTTACTAAAACACGACACTTTACAGCACGTTAACTCAGAAAAAATACTAAATATAAAAACTTCCACATGGTTAAAGACCAACACAAACGAAATTTTGATCATATCCCATATTCCACGAGAGATAGTTAGAGCACCGATCTTTGAAATATTACAATATCCATACAAGGATAACAACATCTAAACAGAAGTAATTCATGACAAATATTTCATGCAATACAAACAAGCCTACACGGCAAATACAAAAGAATTAATTACAAATAAATGCATAACAGGAATTTTGAATCAAGACACAACAGAATGTAGTTCCACAAAAACAAGAAAGAACTTTGAAATAAATTATGTCCAGCCTAACATTCTGATTACTTAGAATCTACCAAAGACACTTTTAAAACAAGATTGTATCAATAGAGAAATGATAATAGAAGGTAACAACCTCATTAAAGCGTCAAACTGTTCAATTCAATTTGATGAAATAATAATCACAAGCACAATGTTAGATTATACGCAAACGATTTATGTAAGCAATAACGTAACCAAGTTAGAACCATTATCATATATTCAAGCCAAAGAAATTGTAAAAGATCACACTAAAATGAACAACACTTTTCAAATTGTATCTATAACCATACTTTGCACAATCATAATCGCTATAATATTGTACATTATCTATAAGTTTTCCCCAAAGATTAATTATAAAATATAAGAAACAAAAAGAACAAACACAAATTGAAGAACCAATCAATATACAATCACATGAAAATATTGTAAGCAACAGCAACCTAAATGACTCCGATAATATTGTAATTAGCAATACCCCAACATTATATCCAAAAATGTCCGCTTAGGACAGGCTAGTTTCTTAGGGATGGGGAAGTGACATATGTACCACACCCACAACATATACAACACCTGCACATGCACTCATATAGCATATAACATATGTCCACTGCACTCAATTCCAACCCCTTATATATAACCCCTAGCAACTAAGCACATCACCTAAATATTGTAATCCGATACATACCAATTGGAATTTTTACTTGGTGACAATAACAATTCTGGCGTGGGACCGGTCATAAAATCACTAGACATAAACATCCGCCACAATCGTTATTCCCACCAAATGCCCAAATTGCCAACGCAGCACAAATCCAGGCTCTTAGAATATTCCCGAAAACTCACAAAGAGAGTAAATAATAAAGAGCATTGCTAAAAGAGAAAAAGCTCATGATCTTGAAAGCTCAGCCGATGTTTGCTAAGCGTTGAAAGCAGTTTGGAGTTTAAATTCATCCGACGCATCCAAACCGTCAACTTGAATATATTATTCCTGTAAATTCCGCTTAAGTTACGCACCGTTGAATAAAATTATATTTTTTTTGAACAACGCTTTTTGACTTATTCAATTATATATGTACTATTTTAGAAGATACATTTCAAGTTTGGTGGCTCTAGCTCTAGCTTATTTATCAATTTTTTTTTAAAAAAACAGGATTTCGATATCAATTTTTATCGAGTACTTGAAAATGAGGCAATTTATCGATTATCGGAAACAAACTCTTACTGCGCGGGCACTAGGAGAACCTACATACTAAATTTCAGTCTCTAGCTATTATAGATTCTGATATCCTTGCGCTCATACATACGGACGGATCCGTAAGAGAAAGGAATCAGACTTCTTGTACTGCCGTATGTTATAAGGCTGGAGGTGGTATTGTTAACTTCAACCCGCACCTGTATATGTAAATCTTATTTGTTGCCCTCAGTTCATATCAGGGTCTTTCACACTTCAGAAAATTCAATCTATTCTGCCAAATCGTGCTACCGACTGTAAACAAATATATTTTAAATCTCACCATAAAATTGAAAAAAAAGACTCAGTGATCAGTAATGTTATAAAATTCATCCTCAAAGTTACAAAATACATAAAACCCGATAAGGAATGTGTAAAACTTGTTCAAAGAGTAATGTCATTAAGATCGACCAACACCAAATATAGTTAGAAATATGAACAATTTTGTCTGTAATCCAAAATAGTTAAACAAATTTTATTGCAAGGGTATTAGTCCTCGGCATACCGAAGACAGATATTGTTCTCATTTTTCAAACATCTATTCATAGATATACGGATTAAATCTTGAACAAATTGGATTTGTTCATCCTCGGGATAGTGGAATTCAACCCTGCATCCCGTTAACAGTGAAGACTGCATTTCTGCTTATATTCTGGATAACTTCACATCAATATTTTAAAGAAAAAGCTAAAGATAAAGCTGAAAACGATCTATTGCTTCAGATTTTTGGACCGCAACATTCACGATCTGAACACACATTATTCGAAAAGTCAAGGGCGCCGCGTGCGATCATATTTATTTTTGAAAGTGTTTCAAATTTTGTTACACGTATCTGGATGTGGATGTTAATATTCTTAATATTTCTATGTGCTATGCTTGATCAAGTCATGACCGGATTTCGTATTTGCTACATGTCACTCTTCCTTCTATTTCTAATGGTTTTTCAGATGTCTTTGCAGCTCTGGATAAAGTTTTTATATGGATATTGGATGTTTGTTATATTCTATGCAATGACTATATTAACTATTATATATACCTATCAATTCGACTACTTTGACCACTATTGGGAGACATATCTGCATGTTCAGCCCACCTTGTAAGTCCAGCGAAAATAATCCTTATCCTTATCAATTCCTTAAATGTATGCACTTAGACAAAATGATATAGGCTTACGCCGCTACCGCACTAAAGATCTCTTTCTACATTTGCTTATTCCAACATTAACAGTTATTTTTACTGTGGTACAACTGCATTATTTTCACCGGCGTTTTATGGAATCTGTACGTCAGCCAAGACCAACCGATCGAAAAAGTCAAAGTTCTCGGGTGCGCTTTAGTGTGGCTACTGGAAATCACCAAAAAATTAACATTCCACGTAAACAATCATGGAAATCCTTATTTTCTGGAGTGCACAAGAGATTACGGTCAAGGCTTCGTCGATGGTTTCGACCTAGTAAATTGGTTGCATGGCGATTTCTTGAAATGCACATGATTAAAGCGGTCATATTGACCACCTTTACTTGTGCTATTTCAGAAGTTTGCTGTTTCAACCTTTTTCTTGTCATATTATCGCTTATGAGTGTTGGTATAAATCGATTTCTCCGACGAGTCATATTTCGTATAGTTACATTTTGGGTTTCTGTTTTAATACTCATGAAAATGATCTATCAGATAAAATATTTGGATCAAACACAATATAATTATTCATGTGTAAGGATGCATTCGTATTTATAAATAAATATACTTATAGTTGCGGATATTTTATATTAAAAACTTGTTTTTAGAAAAACGAAACAATAAACTTTGCTGATTGGATGGGTCTTCGAAAAACTGATCAGATTTGGGGTGCATTATTACGGTATATAGCGCCGTACATTGTATACATGATCGTTACTACATTGCATGCTGTAGTCAAATTACGTGATCATTTGATACGATTTTCGATGGGTGAGATAAGAGACCGCACAACTATTTTTCCTAAAACATCTCGTCAAGACGCTGAACGGAATTTTTCTGGACTACTAAAATATCTACTTAACTATGGATACTTCAAGTTTGGATGCGAAATAACTCTAATCGCGCTAGTCTCAACTATTGTCCATAGACGTGATATACTTTCAGTAACATATGCCCTTTGGCTTATACTTTTACTCTGCCTCACACGTCTGCAGTGTGCACGAATATGGTATATGTTGCAGCTATATTTTGTACTTTCAATATTTGTACAATATGTGTATTTAATACATTTTCCACCAAATATATGTCACGGTAAGTACTTAACTTAACACTAATAATATTATTAACAAGAAATCTTTTAGTTTCAATTAATGAATCGCAACATCTCAGGAATAATTCGACTTTTGAGAGACTTTTAGATGATTCCATTAAATCAAAACTTATGCTTGATTTCATTGTACTTTTACTTATAGCGCGTCAACGTAAGGCATTTAAAGTAGAAATTCGGCAAGATACCAATTTTATATATCCGGGCGGTGATAACAGAAACATTGTACATAACATTGCTAAGCTGGGCCATGTTTACTTTAGAAATCCTACGCATGATTTTTGCTCTTTTGTCCGTAACTATTCAGATGTATTTAAGACTCTTATATTCTGTAGCTTTCTCTGGGTTACACTAGCTGTTGTATTTATGGGTGGTGTTTGCAGTATGGATATGTTGTCATTAGGCTATTTAATATTTGCTTTAGTATTTATGCTTCAAGGCTCGGAAGTATATTTACAAAATATTCATTACATCATATGCCGCTGGAATTTCCTTATTGCATTTAATGTTTTTAACATAGTCATAAAAGTCTGCATTATTGTGTTTGGAAATATGTTAGACATAAAAGACAAACAAGATTATCAAAGTTTGTTTGCAGTTATGGAATATGATCAATCATTGCCGAAGACTGAAGCAGATAAGCAAGCTGAAAGAAGTCATATTTACCATTATGGTCCGAACAGCATGATCTTTAAAAACACTCTGGTGTGGCATGCAATTATTTTTGCTTTTGTTATCTTTCAACACCGTATATTTCGTTCATACTACTTTTGTCACATAATAATGGATACTCAAGCTAACACAGTTCTGGCGTCACGGTAAGTCGACAGCTTATATTCAAGCTTTGTAAATATATACAGGTAGGTGATATAATCTCTCGGGCCAAGCTAAACTATTTATAAACACATACATTTTGGTTTAAGGGGTTATTTGACTATCAAGTTTTAACTTTAAATTCAGCAAATAAATTATGCGCTTCTATACCAATACTTAAGAATCATCTATTACTTCTAAGTTGCAGGCGGTAAAAAAAAACCTTAGTGATGTAAATAACGATTAAGTTCCTGTAATTGACAATTACCGACACAAGAATAATACTAACTGAAGTCTCGTCACCGTTGAGCAGCAGCCTTGACATACAGTGGATCACAGCTTATTTCAACCAGTACATTAAAAAAACTTTGGGAGGCTATAAAAACTAAATTGAGAAAGATATTAATATTATATAAATGACGGTTTTTAAATTATTATTTAAAGTTTTAAAACATGACTTCATATTTTTTAGATATTATATTTTTTTTTTACATATTATAAGAGGTTTTAGTCGGGATCTCCCGACTAGGGGATACCCTTAACCCTCTTTTTCCAACCGGCGATAGGTATAAAATGAAAGATACATAATATACATATTAATCTAGAAGCTACATGTCAAGTTTGGTTACTCTAGCTCTTATTATTTACCATTAATTGCGCAAAAAACAGGATTGCGATATCGACTTTTATCGATTACTTGGAAGCGGGGCAAGTTAACGAATATAAATATTCAAGTATCTAGCTCTTATAGGATCTGAGATCCTTGCGTTCATACATACGGACAGACGGACGGACGGACGGACATGGCTAGATCGACTCGGCTGTTGATGCTGATCAAGCAGGATTTGAGTCCAGCTCTTAAATTTAACAATTTGAACGGCATTAAAAGGAGAAGCAACATGCATGGTGTCGCAATTGCTAATAGGCTCCGCAGAAAATAACAATGCGACTTGGGAATTATTAACCAAGCGTTATGAAAACAAAAGGAAAATATTTTCCGAACAATTGGATAGGCTTATAGAGTTGCCAGGACTGAACAGTGATTCAACAAAGCACATTAAAGCATTTTTTGATTCAATTAATGAGTCAATACATTTAATAAAATTGAAAAGGGTCTTATCAGAAGACGTTGATGTAATTTTTGCACACATGAATATTCGCAAGTAATTAATAAAGAAACGTTGCACTCATATGAAAATCATGTTAAAAGAACAAAAGAAGTTCAAAAATTGTCCGACGTAATGGAGTATTTAGAGCAAAGGTTGAATGCTCTAGGCTCATTGAAGGATGAGTAGGAAACCCCGAAAGTCAATAGGGACTTTTTGGAAAATTGCCCAATTTGCAAAGTAGCTGGGCATTATGCATTACAATGCTTTAAATTTAGAGGCATGAACCCAGCAGACAGGGCAGAAGCCGCAAGAAAGGCACAATTATTAAAACATTCAAGTGCCGAGAGGTGCACAACTGAAATTTTATGTGCGAAATGCAACAAATTCCACCACACAATGCTTCACTTTGATTGAAGAGAAAAAGTGAACACATGCGTGGCTGAAAGCCAAGCGCTATTAGCGACAGTAATTTTCAGGGTAAAATCAGCTACGGGGGAATACGAAAAATTGCGGGCACTAATTGATAGTGGGTCGCAAACTACAATCATTTCTGAGGAGGCAGTCCAGATACTAAAGTTACCTAGATTGAGGGCGATCACAAAAATTAGTGGAGTATCCTCAACAGAGTCTGGTGTATCAAAATATAAGGTCAAAGTATGTGTGGATACTTAAGACCCAAAAAAGGAGCCGCTTACAGTAGATGCAATAGTTTTGCCAAAACTGATGAAGCGCTCCCAATAAAATCAATAAATATTGATCAAATTAAATGGGAAAGCGATATATTAGCTGATCCGCAGTTTAACAAACCAGGTTGTGTAGATATAGTTACGGAACTGACCTGTATACTCACATTTCAAAAAATGGGGTAGTAAAAATCGACGGGCTTCTTGGCCAGAACACAGAGTTCGGGGGGATAGTGTCTGGGTGCACGAAATCCAAAGGAGAAGAGATAAAAGATAGCCTATCCGAAAAATTAGTACTTCCAGGAAAGAGAACAAATACAGAAATTAAGGAAATTTACACACGGTTAAAGGCAAAGGGTATTTTTATAGAGAATAAACTCATCATAAATGCTAAAATACCAATACAGACACCCGTCCCAGCTGTTTAGAATTATACCAGTGCCAATACAAAGAGATGGACAGATGATAATGATACAGTTAAGTTCAGAATATTAAGTATTTAACTTTGAGATGGATTCGTACCATTTAATGATTGCACATTAAACAAATGCCAACAATGGCAATCAAACAAGCGAGTGTGTGAAGGAAATTGGCCTTGGAGCAGTGCCAGTGATAGCACCTGTGAAACTTCACCTTTTAAACCAAACAGACCATCGAATTGTGTTTATAGATCTGTAGTAGCATCGAAAAAATACTGGGTAGAATCAGAAGGCAGAAGCAGTTGGCTCTTTAAAAACCTGCGTAATACGACAGCTAGGATCCACTGAGAAAAAACAAGACAAATTGTTAATTGCTCACCATAAGATGCAATCAGAAAGGCAGGAAACCATTATTCCCTCTTACATAGGAGAATTGAAAGAAATACCTAAAATTACGTGGGATATCATTTACAGAAACTAAGATTAGTACTTCTGAGGAATTAAATAAGCTACTAAGTAAAGTTCAAGAATTAAAAGACCACCATGTTGAATTAAAAGGTTTAAACTTCCACCACGTATCGGGACATGCTTCGTTAATGATTGTATTAATTTTAGTCGTAATAATTATTGTATACCTGATAAGAAAAATAATTGTAACAGAAAAACTGCAGGCCATCACCCTTGTCGGCCCTCCGCAGAATGTTCACACATGAACACGTGACACCGAGTCTAAATTTGACCCTCGGTAAAATTATATCTTACACCATCGTGTACGATGCAGCCAGCAGCATTATAATAGATAGCGCACTTGTGGTCGCTTAAGATTGTAAGAGCGACCTTTGTTAAGAAATGTCATATTAGAAACATTTGTAAGTAGCAAGGGTAAAAAATACCCTAATTAAACACAATAGTTTATGACCGCTGCTGCCGCATGCATCGACAGCAGGCCTAAAATAAGACACTCTGTTAGTATAAAAGACCTAGGATTCGTAAGAATAAAATCAGTATCTTACAAGTACTCACATTGAACATATCCGTTCATTTGGTCCTTCGAGCAGTGCCGGCATTTCGGCACGCTTGTGTATAAAGACCTACGACATTCGAGCGGTGCAGCCAAGAGCAGCACGCCAAACCAAAAAACTATCGGGCGGTGCAGACAAGAGCAGCGCGCCGAACAGAAAAACAGACAGCAAAACAGAGCGAGAATGCAAACTCTTCAAGAAGCGCTACGGAAACAAGAAGGGGTCCAAACAGCTAAACGACGCCCACGTCCGTAGTCGAAAGGCCGAGGAGGTAAATCTGGTGCCAAGGCCCCCCCGGCGGCGGCCAGACTGCAAGAAGAGATTAACAGAGCCCTGCTGACGGTGATCAAGGCACATCCAGAGGGGAACCTCTTCAAGAAGTACTCCTACCACTACCCAACACCGTCTGTGCTTCTAAACGTGAGGCCCAAGCAAAAACCTTACGTTAAGGAGTTTAAATAAAATATTTTTTTTAAAAAATCATAAACAATAAAATGAGAGTGCGACCTATGGCGCACCCATGCGAAAAGGGCGGCAAGATCGCCTCGCAATAACAACAAAAATTGCTTATTAACAATTTTTTTTATGTATACAGTCCATTGAAAAAATTAAAATTAAAAAGAACTTTTTACTTAAGAAAAAATAATAATTTTTTGTAAAAAACATGTTGTCAGACAAAGTTATAGAATTGTTGACGAAGCAGTCACAATTGGTGGAAAGATTCAGAGAGATAGAGGGTGGTCAAGGGGGCGAGTTAGAAGCAGTTTCAAACCAATTACAGCGTATTGTGTAAAATTGGAGTAGTCGGTCATGACTACTTCAATAAGAAACAATACGAAGTGATAATGACAGTTATAGGCAAAATTAAAGAAAAACTTTCAGGAAGCCTAACTAGTTCGACAAGCCGGTAGATGTAGTGAACAAATATTTAGAGAAAACCGCAGGTGGACATTAGGGAAAACAACAGTAAAATGTTTGGATTGAGGAAAAGAAAGATAGTATTTCTTTGGAAAGAAATACATAAAGAAATAAAATTCTTTAAAGAAAAGTTCGACAGCAACGTAACGTGTTATAGGGAAAACGCTAGATTTTGACGTACAGAACACGGTAGAAGAACTAGCAAATCAGGTTCAAGACAAGTGTCAACCAAAAATGGAGGGCTGCCATGTAAAAACAGAGGAGCTACCAATGCTCCCGAAAATGCAGGTACCCAGCTTTTATGGGGATTCCAAAGAATGGGATCTCATCTCCAAGTTGTTTAAAGAGTTGGTGCAATCAAGAGAGGATTTGAGTCCAGCTCTTAAATTTAACAATTTGAACAGCATTAACAGGAGAAGTAAGATGCATGGTGTCGCATTTGCTAATAGGCTCCGCAGAAAATTTCAATGCGACTTGGGAATTATTAACCAAGCGTTATGAAAACAAAAGGAAAATATTTTCCGAACAATTGAATAGGCTTATAGAGTTGCCAGGACTGAACAGTGATTCAACAAAGCACATTAAGGCATTTATTAATTCAATTAATGAATCAATACATTTAATAAAATTGATAACGGTCTTATCAGAATACGTTGATGTAATTTTTGCACACATGATTATTCGCAAGTTTAATAAAGAAACGTTGCACTCATATGAAAATCATGTTAAAAGAACAAAAGAAGTTCAAAAATTGTCCGACGTAATGGAGTATTTAGAGCAAAGGTTGAATGCTCTTGACTCATTGAAGGATGAGGAGAAAAACCCGAAAGTCAATAGGGACTTTTTGGA